TTACTGAGCACTGCAGAGTCTCAGGCTTAACAGAGCAGAGCAGTGGAAGACACACCAGTATATTCCAGTGCTACTTTTGTCTGTTGTCCTCTTTTTCAGTACCAATGCCGATATAGGAGTCTGTATTACAGATGCTGGCAGGCCCCACTGTTGAAAGCCAGACAGTTTTCGGTCTCTTCTGTGGGAGTGCTCCAGGGAGATGAGCAAGGCTGTGGCATGGGGTGGTCCTGGGGCTTGTTGGGAAGGAGGTCTGGTAGGGCTGTGCAGTCAGCAAGCAATCTGGGCAGTGAGGGTCCATACAAAGGATATCAGTCTCTTTCTCCAGTCTGTAGCTTCTGTTTTCTGCTTGACTGCACTCGCTACCTTCCTCCTGCCCCTCTGGGAATTGCCCTCTTATTACCACAATTACAATCTGTACACATTTCATTAAACTAATATCACTTCGTCTCAGGCTTTCTTCACCGAAGTGCACAGCTGGAGGCCCATTTCTTTTCCTCAGCTTAAACACTTTGACAGGTTAAGAAAGCTATTATGGCTGAATAACAGGTGTTGCAAAACAATGTGCATTTGATGTTTAAATGAGAGAGCTTCTTTATTGACTGTCTTTATTGCAGCGAAGACTCTCCTTTTTCAAGATGACTGGATTTTTATTGCTTTTACTGCTTTTTAAAGTGTATTCTGTTGTTTCAGAATAGGTCCGGAGTGACTTTCTGCACTTATTTGTTATTCTGATGTATTTTTTTATTTGCATTTTTTTGCCTTCTTATCCAGGTGAAAGATACCAGTGCTAAATAGAAAAATCTTATTTTGTCTCTGCATCACACCAGCGCTAGTGCTTCTTATTCCTGGGCAGCTCCCAGTGGAGCTATAAGCCATTCAGCTCCATTACTTGGCCTTTGCTTATTATTTCTAACCAGACTTGATTCACTTCTCACGTATCTATATAGCAGCCTATATATATATGTACATAATAAATACAACATTTTATATATTTAAGTATTTAAGTTATAGCTGGGCTTTAGAATGTTTTGCAGAGATTTTTCAGAACATTGCAGGAGACTTGGGCATATGCTGTTTGCTGGCTTCCAGTGGTCCAAATCAGTCACACTTATTTGGGAATCTCAACAATTGTGTTTAGTCTGTGGTGCTATGTGATATGATTGATATAGGGTGTTCACAGATGATCTAACAAGTAGCATGGCCCAAAAAAAGGAGCCTGTGATTATCAGGACTTGAATGCAATGTGACACTTAATTGAACACAACCAATATATTATAACTGAAAGAAATATTAAAAAGATAAAAAGAAAAAAAGTAAAATTTCTCATCATTAAAAAGCAAAGTCCTCTCTAAGAAAAATAAATTAGCTCCTGCGTAATCTTCCCATAATCCCACCCCATGCTCCCCACCTGCCAGTTAGGCTGAATTTTACTAAAGCTTTCCACAGGCAGGAGGACACTTTCCCTTCCACTCCCACAAGAAGGTTTTGCTAATGCAAGCAGTTTTAAGGAGGACCAAGACAGAAGAAAATATAACTACGTGTAGTAGTAAAGTAAGGACATTGTGGTTATGGCCTTATATTTCTTTTTTTGTCCTACTACCTATTTTGCCTTCCAACAGTGTAAAAGGAGTTAACCATGTCACATATTAGCAGCTAGAAGTTCAGAGGGGCTAAAACCTTATATTGGGAAGGAGGAGCAAATCTGTTCAAGCCAATTTCATTCATGTGCAATTTTTTTCCCCTGTCTAATTCCTACCTCAAATTAGGCACTGATGCAAGGTCTGGCACATTGAGAAGGGAGGGGGAAGGGCTGTCTGTTTTGGGGAAGCTGGGTGCAGTACTGAGGAACCTCAGAGGAGGTCTAGCTAGCTGGCTGTATTACACCATTTTTGTTTACATGATTCATACGGATGCCACATGAATTACGTGCAACACTAATTTGCAAGTAGAAGGAAAATTGTGTGTAGATGAAGAAGAAGGTGGGAAAGCAACTAGCTGTCACCACCGCCATATATTTTTCACAGTAGGCAATAAATTATTTCTGTGATCCTCTGGAAAATTACCTGTAATAGAGGAATTAACTGTTTCTCATTATTATGTAGATCTTGGGTATATTTAAATTTGTGACAATGCCAAAGGAAAGTGAAATGCTAATTAGTACACCATTTTTCTATAAATGTCTCTGTAACTGAAGAAGTCTGTCACAATGCTGTCAAGAGAGAATTTTGTTGTTTCTTTTGTTGCCTCTTTTTTTTTTCTCCCACGTTGCACAAGTCAGCTCCTGAATGTTAATGGTTTCAACTGTTGCCAGCCTGCGTGCTCAAAAGTGTGTGTCTTGATGCACATGTATTTGTCTTTAGTGCACCTGCGTACAAACCAGTCCTTATGGTGTACATTAACAACAGGAGAATTTTGGGACACCTGACAGTGTCGTGCTCCATTTGGTGTAACTTCTCTGGACACACTACAGCTTATCTAGGTTCATAATGATGTGAGTGCATCCAGGTTGTTTCTTCTTCTCCCCCTACTTCTAAATAAAACCAACACAATCTTTCCATCTGAGCTAAAGTTATATTTACTATTTAGCTATTCTTGCTTTCTAAAAGTACAAAGCCTCTCTCAGTTACTGTTGGTGGATGAACTGCCATGGTGGTGTGCATGGATTACTTGCTGCTCCTTCCATTTATTCTGCATTGGAAAGTGTGGGAGCTAGGCTCAACAGGCAGTCAGGAGACTAATGAGTTTCCAGCTATTCCTTCTTCTCTCAACCTCTCTTGTCTGTGTAACATAACTTCAAGACAAGCAGGAAAGATGCTCTGGCCAGGTGCCCAGAGCAGAGGTGTGGCTCGCTCTGTGGACACGGCTCTTCGAGGGAAGGAGAGCTGGATGGAGACAAGGCAGTCAGAGTGGAGATGGTGACTGTATGCTGGCAGAGGGGGAGCAATATAGGAAGGGTAGAAGGTAGTGTATGTGTATATGCTTGTATTACAAACTGCAAAGAGAAAGAAGGTTAGAGTGACCAAAAATTAGGAAACAGGCTCTGGCTATTGAAAAAGGCAAATAAATAGGCATTAGAAATAAAGTAGAAGCTAATAAAGAAAAAATATAGGGGGAGGGGAAGGGTAGGTTGTTATATATAGGGAATGAAGGAGAGAACTAGAAAAAACTGAATGAAGGCAATAAATTAGGAAAGGTATGTTATTATTTGCTTTCATTCATATTTATTTCTCTCAGGCTGGGTGCAAGGAGCAAATTATAGTGGAAGAGGTGAGTGGAACTGTAGAAACAAAATGTTGATAAGAAAATGCAAATACTGTAAATATAGGTGCTTGAAAATAAAATGGAAAATTTTGAAGTATCACTGTAGGACCTTGGGAAAGAGTTAAAAGGGGGCATGAAAAGAAACGGAAATTCCAAAGTTAGTTTTTATGCCACTATTTTTCTTTAACTTTCCTCCCTTCCTCATTGTAATTTTTGATTCTGCCACAGATCTCTTGACCTCTAGGGGTTTTCTGCTTCAAATACTTCCCAACTTAGAGTACAGCCACCTGCCCTTTGACTTGTATCTCCAGCACCTTCTGGGAGGTCTGGAATTTGCTCGTCTTGTTGACATGCTTCTCAGTGTAAAAGAGCCTTCTTTGTGGTTTACATTTCATACACTTGCTCCCTTTGTAAACCTCCTTTTATCTGACCCTGTCGTTCCCAAATGTCTCATCAGGCGCCTTTTTGGCTTTTGCTGTTTGCTGTGAGAAAGTGAATTGTGATCAGGCGGTGCATACCTGCTCCTCTGCCTGTTTAAAGCACTTGTTCCATGAGTCTGCTATGCCTGCAGTGACCCATGGGTACGTGCCCTGGTTTTCGGTTTGGTTTCTTTTCTGTCACAGAGAGCAACCTCTGTGACTTGCCAAGATCTCAAAGCAGGTTGCTTGTCTTATGGCTGACAGGATAACAGGAGTGTAAAGGCAAGTGGGCCTTGGGCTGATTGCAGTTGATGTGGGCAGGGTGTGGGGTGGATGCAGTGAAGCAGAAAACATTTCTGTGCCAAGGGATGTAGCTTCAAAATTTCCTCTACTTGTACCTATGAGCAACACGAGGATATTTGCAGGCATATTTAAACTCCAGGTAACATATAGAGGGTCTGAGGTTTTCTTTTTGAGCTGACTCAGCTAATTTGAGAACATACAGCTAAACAGGGAGTGTCCAGGCTGGTACATACACTGTAAAAAATAGCAGCCATCACATTCAGATGGCCTAACTATGAACTCTTTATCCCAGTGTAAACAAGATGCACGGCTAATGTGTAGGAAAGAAGAATCAGGCCTTGAACTCACAGAGCTGAGGAAATTAAATCCATTGATGAATCTGTGGGTATTTTTTGTGTCCACACCCAGCGATAGGTGCCCCCAGAAGTATCTGTTTTACTATTAGAATGCTGTCCAAAATAAGGGCTTGCTGACAGCCTCAGCTGTTACCACACAGGAATTAAATGTCTTGGGATCCTTCATAATCATTCCAGTCAAGGCTCAGAAAAAAATTGTTGCTCATAAAACAATCTCCTACGGGCCTTCAACCTTAATAAGCTTGTGTATGGAATTATGAATTTATAAGCATCATAAAATTATAATGGAAAATCAGTAAAAATACTGCTTAAAACTGTTTTTCACCTTGCTTGCAAAATTCTTTCCGTAAAAGAGAGAAAACATGATTTGGGTTTGGTGGGGCTTTGCTAGGCATGTAAATCCCTCATGTATCTGTAGGCTGAGTTCAGGATATTTGAAGAGAGGCACATACAGACTGATAAGTTTGGTAAAGGGCTTATGTATGCATATCATAATCTGACATCTTTAGATTACATTTATTAGAACATACTATGTGGCTGTTTATTGCTGTTAATATAAAGGTATGTAGAGGCACATGTCAGTATATTTCTGCGTAGACAAGCAAAATCCAGCTTCAGGTTTTTTGGAGCTGATCTTAGGCATATTGCCTTTTTGTTTTAGATGAGACTTGCCACTCAGAAGCTGTGAGAGAAGATCCTCTTGGAGCACAGGTAGCTTGTGTAAGTTTGCAAATTTCCTGCTAAAGAGCCTTTAAATTAAACTTAACTATGCTGGGAGAAGAACAATATCCAGAACTGTAGTCACTGACTCTCATCCTCTTCCTTTGTGAATCACCATCCCAGCAGTGCATGGTGATTCTTTTGGATTCATCATTGTCTTTTCCCTCTGACTAGTTTCAAAATATGCATTATCCCACATGCTAAGCATCCTTCTCAGTTAAGAGAAGCAGAAATGCTGCCTGCTGTTAGAACTCAAGAAAAAAATATTTCAAGCTTCATGTAATGGTTCTGAAGAAATTCCAGAAAATAGAAGTTCTTTAATTTTCTAAAGTACCGAATTTAGGGTTAGAATTCAGAACTTTGACTGCAGATGATTTTCAGGAGAAAATATAAGTACTGTGAAAGTCACTTGCCTTTTTTGACATTATTTGGCATTTATGAAAGGACAAATGAGATTTTTGGTGAAAGTATTGAACTCTGATTACCAAGTTTTTTGCTCTATCACAGATTTTGAGTGGAATTTTATAAATGTTATGATCTATTTTTTCTGCTTTATTAATCTCTGCCTGCTTGTCATCACACTGCAAAACAGGAAAAATGTTACTTCTATGATACTTGCATATCTCTTTTGAGCTACAAGATTTTAAACCAAGCACTTTCTTTCAGTTTCTTGCTGCAGCACATTGGAGACAAGACACAAGCTGGATTTTTGGTACTGAAACAATGATTATTTTCTTAGATCTGTATGGTTGAACAAACCTGTGATATCTTCTGAACATGATCAGGAAAGGAAAACATTAGAGGAATCTGCAGTTTTAATACAAGTTTAAATAAAAATTAAACAGTCTATACCTTAAACGATATGGAAAACATGAAGCTGTCTACTTTTTATTATTGTAAGATTGAACGCCCTGATGGTAAATTACACAAGATAAATTTGTCAGGACATTAAAACACTGCATAATGGACATCAAAGTGCTGTCAGAAGAATCTTCTGTCCAGTGGGAATGTTGGCACCAGAGAAAGGGTACCTGTGATAATATATAATTTTAATTGGACTGTGTCATGACAGGCTGACCAGATGCCAATAAAAAAGCCTATGGAAAAAAATATTATGAACGGAGGACAACGTAATGACTGTATCTATATATATCTTCCCATTTCCTTTAACTGACAGTTTTTAATCTCTAAAATGCTTTCTGTTCTAGATTTTCTTTCTTTTTTTTTTTTTTTTCTCCTTAGGATGTAACATTGTCGTACCTTCTGTGATCAGTACAGGATGCTCTGATAAGAAACTTGGTAAAGGTGGAGAAAGAGTGCAGCACTGCCATTGAAGAGAAGGTGGCAAGGGGCTGCCATAGGGTTTCTCTTTGAAGAATCTCCTGTTAAACCTCCAGTATTAAAGGCAGATGTGCAAAAGGATCCCCAAAACTTCGATGCAAAGGCACGATTGAAAATCTCTACATGGAACTCACAGTTTAAGATAGTCTTAAACAAACAAACAAACAAACAAACAAAATTACCCCCCTGTATAATCACTTTGGGGCTTTGGTGCTCTTTATCTCATAGACAAGGGACCTGAGGTGTAATCACCAGCCTCAGCTGTTAATTTAAATCTGCAAGCAGAAGCCCCTAGGGCTGCCCCACACCTCAAGCACTGGGGAGCTAAGACCAGCCTGATCTTGTAGGAAGGCTCAGTGAGAAATCTTTTCAGAGCTGCTACTTGTGTTTTCCATTCCCATGCAGCAACCACAAGCCACTTCCACCTCATTTCTCTCTTATAGGCTCTTCAGCCTACTCACATGAGACCCAGAGCCCACCTAATGCTCTTTTTGAGTCGAATCTGAATTTGGAACAAATACTCTTCTGTTTTTCCTTTTGTGAACATGCGTGGTGCCTGATGCAGATCACTTGATCAGAAATGGCACAAGACTAAAGAAAGCAATTTCATCTTTTTCTGCTTTCACACAGGGTAAACTAATAACATGCAAAAAGCTGTGCCTATGGTATACTGTTTGAGAATATAATCAGTTTGTTGTACACTTTGTCCTGCAAGGTGCTGCAACTCATATCCTGTCCAACAAAATAGGTACGCCTATTGATTTGAAAGCTTGTCCTTCATTGTTACGTTGGACCGGGGTCAAGTTTTGTGGCTGTAAGTTGAACATAACTACTTAAAAAGGAGGTTTTATCAGTCATTTTGCAAGTGATGTCTGTCAGCTCTGGTGAGGCTACTTTGTTCTGTTTCAGGTTAGGGAAATGAACATGTATGTTACTGTATTGAGAGGTTGTTGAGCTAAAATAATAATAATTAAAAAATACAATAAATTGGATGTTCTAGAGCCTCAGGGAATTGAGTAGAGTTTGTAATATGGTATAAAGGAAGTTTCTACTATTTGGGGTTTTTACCAAAATAAAATATGTGTAATGTTGGTAGTTGCAATATTTTTAATTGGTGTGTTTATTTTGTTTTGAGACTCAACATTAAGCAAACATAACTTGAGGCGCTTAAAACATCATACCGCAATGCAGAGTAATTGAAACAAGGAAAGCCAAACAACAGCAATAATAATAAAACTTAAATTATTGATGGAAACTCATAAAAAAAATCTTCAGGAACACTTCTGTGTTGATTAATACAGTATCCTTTTTGAAGCAATATCCAAAGTAACTTTAAGAACTTGACCCTAGGGCTTAAAAACTTGTCTATTACGTGGTCAGCTTCCTCCTTCAAAAACGTTTGCATGTTGTGAATTATTTAGAAAAAATCTGTTTAAAGACAAGTGAAAAAAATTAAAAGAATTAAATGCATAGAGACTCTGGCAGCACAGAGAAAAGAGGCAGGAAGTGTGGAAGTCTTCTGCCATGTACCCTGGTAAAACGGATCCTTTACTGTGAGAGAATATCTATTCTTTCTCATCAAGCTCCCAGCTGCCTGGGAGTATCTTCTTTTGGCCCCTAGTAAGCTTCCTCCAGTGAAGGTGCCATTGCCTCTCAGGGGCCTCATCTCACAAGCAAAATCTGCATGTATGTGTATATACATATATATATTTATATGTATGTGTATATGTATTTTAGTTCTTCAAAGTTGCAGAAGAGTTTCCTCCCCCTTACATTAATTTCTCCTTGCCAGCCTCTAACATTAGTCTTTGAGATTTCTGATAATCTTGTCAGTACTATCCTGTTAGCCACTGTTGTTTGTCACTTTAAACAGTGGTCCATCATGCAGAAGTAAATCCTTGAACACAGATGCTGTTGACTTGTGTCACAGTGACAAGGATGTATTGAGTTACCTGAGCTTTTCAGAGATTCAGGGAAAAAAAAGAAAACAAAGAGGGTACTCAGCCTAGTGGGAGTCTGGAGGTGCTGGAAAAGTGTATGGCGTGCCTATGCTCTCATGTAGCCACTTCAGGTTTGTCTGTAGGTTGTGGGTTGAGTGTGAGTGTTGTGCTGTGGACAAATGCTGAGGATGTGGCCCTGGATTTCTCTACTTCCACTTAATTGAAATAATTATTAATTGCTTTGGCTTTATTTAAAAAAGCTTTTTAAGAACAAGTCTCCTTCACTGCATATAAAACACTGCAAAAAGCATCCTAGGAATCATTCACTGTAATGAAAAAAGTAAACCAGAGTTGCACAGCGATGTTTGCTCTTGGTGAAGTTGGTGAGAGAGGTGCAGAGGGTGAGAAGGCTGTGCATGCCTGACTGCAGTGTTTTCTGCCTCCCCCTCAAGCAGCACATGGCAGGTTACCCTCAGTGCCCACAAGCCCTCTGCCACAGCAATTATTTTAAAATGATTGTTTTGCTGGGACCAGAGACTGTGGCACAAGTGTAGGTCCCTTGTTGGTGTCACATTCAATTAAAAGGATGCAGACGAGGCACTCAGCAGGGCCATCAGTGCCCTGTCAAAACTCATCACTCAGCAGAGAACAACCTCAGGGGCTGGCCCTGTTGTCAGGCAGCCCAAACACATTACCAGTTCCAAGGAGGTTTGATGCCTGTCCCTACGCCAGTGTGGCGTATGGCAGCACGGTGAGGGGTGGCTCTGGCAAGGCTGGCAGCTTGCTGGAGCATGGCTGGGCAGGTGGCACTGGCCTGGTTGTAGTTGGGGTAGCGGTGAGCTATGACTGCTATGATGGGCTTGCAGATGTCATTTTCCACGCTACCAGTTACAGCATGTGACAGACACTTAATGCTGTTGCACAGCCGAGCATGGCTGTAGGAATGGGTGCAATAGTGTGAGGACTCATCTAAAATTGGTTTTTCTGCAGAAAACTATCTGTTGAGAATCGTGTGTGTTTCTACATGCAGGGAATGCACCTTCCAACCTTTTTGTTTATTCTTCCTCGTTTCTTGTGTGTTTGTTTGTTTGTTTGTTTGTTGTTTCTTTTTTCATGTGTTTTTTATTTTATTTTTGTTTTTTGCATTTTTTTGTTTGTTTGGGGTTTTTTTTATTTTTTGTTTCTTTTTTTTTTTTTTTGAGGGGCTGGTTTGTTTGGTTTTTTTTTGGTTGGTTTTCTTTTCCCCCACTAATTAAATCCCATTTATTCAAAGTTCATCTCAAAAAGTGGCCATGTGAGTCAAGATAGCTCCTGCTGATACACACAGTGGGCTAATACTGGTGAGCTGAGCTCTCACCTGTATTTATTGTTTCAGATTTCTGTAGAGCATGTCTAAATGACTGGTTAACATTGTGTCAAGCTAGGGGGAATTATGATGACTCAGATGGGGTGAATGTGACAGTTATTTTACAATTTACTTTGTCCTCAAACTGAAATTCAGAGCAGAACTATGCACAGAAGTAACTCTTCAAAAGTTTTTGCTAAAGAGTGAGAGGGGAAAAAACTGATAGCAAACATTGATGAGAACAGGTTTCTTAGCTTTCTAAACTCTGAAGAGTTTAAAACTGAGATGAGATGCAAATTTTTGGCTATATCTCAAGTCATTGTGTTGACTGGTGTGATTGCCATGACATCCATTACTATTATATGTGTGTGTATATATATATATATTCATCAGATTAATTCTGGAAAATTTTGCTTGGAAAGGTGGGTTTGTTATTTTTTTTTTTAATCAAAAAGAACTAAAAAACCAAACGAACAAAAACAAAAACAAAAAAAAACCCAAAATCAAACCTGTAAAAACAAAACCACTGCTTTCTGATTTTGATAGAAAGAATAAAGACATTTCCATGGATAAAGAGATTTGCTTTTGGTGAGTTATACTAATATCTGTGGTCACTGTTGGGAAGGTAAAATGAACATATTGTAATTTATTACTAGAGCTGGCAAGTGAGATTTAGACTGTATTTCAGGATTTCTAACCTGTGCCAGTAACTTTCCAATATTAATCCTATTAGTAGCACAGTGCATTGTATTAACTACCAAGTAAAGGTTCATATTTTGTTGTCTTTACCTCATTTTGAAATAATTTTCTTTAATTATCTTAGTATAAAGATATCTGAGATCCAAAAATAAAAACATTTTGGAAGCATTTTAAAAGGATGCACCTTGTCAGTTACACAAAAAGTGGCCGTGAAGGGACAATTCTTCAATACTCAGTCAGTGTTCAGCAGAATTTATTAATTGTTAATCTTAAACAATTTTTTATTAAATGAGTTTGCAAGTTACAGAGTATTTATAGTCACAATGAGAGGAGTTCCATTTTTTTAGAAGAAACTCTTGTTGGGAAATATGCAAGATAATGACTGATGAATATCTGAAAATATGGTTGGAGAAGTTATTCTCCAAGAGAAAACCTCAAAATTCTTAACTGAATTATTTTTTGTAAAAGAAAAGTATTTTTTAATGTTTTATAAGATGAAAATATAAGCCAGTAATTAGTGATTTTGTAGGAAAAAAGAATTTTTTTTTAAAGGGACCAGGTTTTCCTTTAGCCCTTTAATCCCAATGAAACTGGATTACGGAAAACACCTTTGCCACAGTGATAAAAGCCAATGAATTCCAGGTTAGTATAAAAATGAATGTACATGTGGATCACTTTGTGTTCTTTAAATATTCTTGCTCTCTGTAGATACCTATCTTTTTCTTGTCTCCTACCACCTACTGCATTGCAAATGAGGGTTGGGTCTTTTTATTATT